GTTGTGTAAGTTTAACTATTTTTTTTTCTTTAAAGCAGAATTTTAAATGATAAATTTGTGATAAGTTTTAAGAGTTATATGATACGTTTTGCTAATTTAAGCTTTAAGGCTGTTCAACGGAAAAAAAATTTAGTGCTGCAATTGTAATTATTTAAACTAATAGTTATTTAAAATTAAATTCATTATTAGATAAAGAATTGTTTTTATTTTTTCATTTTTGCAATCAATATGTTTACCATCTGTTTTATAATTTATCATCGAAATTTATCATCTCAAAATTATCATTCGTATTTTGAAATTTCTTATAGTTTCTATTTGATTATTATCTTTGTATAATTTTTATTCAATATAAATAAAGTATAGTTTTTCATTCATTTCATTTTTAAAATCCTTGAAAAAAAAATCCTTCAAATTGCTTTTCTTTTCCCCGTGAAAATTTAATTTAAATTTCAATTTCGAGTATTATTTCTTTTGCAGGATGAATTTTAATGAAAATTTATTCCATCAAATTAAAGTCGAGGGACGTTCAACAGATGCATTATTTACTGTCCCCAAGCAATACATCAATCTTTCATATCTAAGCACCGGTGCTCAAGGAATTGTTGTGTAAGTTTAACTATTGTTTTTCTTAAGGGAGAATTTTAAATGATAAATTTGTGATAAATTTTAAGAGTGTATAAATTGTAGAAAAGCTTATGATACAGTGGCGCAAGAACAAGTTGCAATCAAAAAAATTATTCATCCATTTTTAACAACAATGACTGCTCGTCGAACATATCGAGAATTCGTCTTGCTCACAACAATGAAACATCCGAATGTTTCTTAATTATCTTTCTTTTTTAATTATTCATTTTCCTTCTATTGTTTTTTCGATTTTTTTAAAATGATCACAGAAAATAAGAACTAAAATTTTCACATTTTATAAAATTAATATTTTAGTTGTAGCGAAATCTTAAAATTTAAGAATTTTGATCTTTTTTTTGAAAAGCAATATATTGCTATGATATCATAATTAAATCGTAAAAATCGATGATGGAATTGAAGATAGAAAAAGTATTGTGTTAAACAATGATACAATTAGAGTGGCCAATACTGTTTGATATTTAAATATTAAAAATTTATAAATTTATATGATTAATATCATTTAAAAATTATCATTAAGGTTATATCAGTATTGATCATTTAATGATTATTACTGTATTATGATAAGTACCATTTGAATTACTTGTAGAGGACAGCAAGTATCATTTAGATTGTTTGAAGGAATCGATTTATTAATTGAATTTATTTTTCAATTGATCAATAGTTAATTGCATGATATTTTTTAGACGACGATACATTCCTTCAACAATTAATAGTAAACATTAATTATTATTCTATCAGAGTTGATCAATACTTTTATGTAATGATAATTTGGAATTTTTGCAGATAATAAGGCTTAAAAATGCCTTTACACCGCATCAATCATTAGAAGATTTTGATGATATTTATCTAGTGATGGAATTAATGAATTACAATTTATCTCAAGTAATTAAGCAATTAAAATTGGATAACAAAAATCTTTCATATTTCACATATCAAATGTTTGTTGCAATGAAATATATGCATCGTAGTGGAATTATTCATCGGGTATGTTTTTTTTTTTTTAATTTCATTATTTAAGTTTCAATTTTAATACATTTTATGGAATTTTGAAAAAAAAAACAATAACAATAATATTAATAACAAATTAATGTAACAATTCGAATTAATTATAATATAAATGTCAGATAATGTGTATTGTTAAAAAATATTTATTATAAAATGCAAAAAATTGGAAATGAATTTTAGGATTTAAAGCCAAGTAATATAGTGATAAATGATAAATGCATTCTTAAAATTCTTGATTTTGGCTTAGCAAGAAAAATTGAAACAGGCGAACGTATGACTGTTTATGTTGTCACACGATATTATCGTGCACCCGAAGTAATCCTTGGCCTTCCATATGATGAAAAAGGTTCCATTTTTAATATCAGTGTTATCACTAATAATAATTTGATTAATTCCTTATGTTGCAAAAAATTTAATTGCTGAATAAACAATTAATTATGATAAAATTTAGTTGTTGAATAAACAATTATTGTTACAGTTATGAGAAGATAGATTTCTGTGATTGAATTGAATTTAACAACCTATAAAATTTAATGAAATACTTAATTGAAATTATATAATTCTAAAATTAGAAAAGAAGCAAGATTTTGACTAAGTGCGATAAGAAACTTGCATGTCTTTTGCAGTTGATGTTTGGGCAATTGGATGTATATTGGCCGAAATGATCAATAGAAAAACTTTATTCCCGGGTACAGATCGGCTTGATCAATGGAATAAAATTATTGAAATTTTGGGAACACCAAGCCAGGAATTTATTAATAAGTGATTATTTATGTTTAATGTCAAATCTTTCATTAATTATACAATTTGAAATGTCAAAAAAATCTTTCATAGTGAATAGAAATTTAAAAATTTTTTTTCTGTATTAACAAAATTAATTTCAAAATTTCAAATTATTATGCATAATTTTATTAGTAATATATTTTCAGGTTAGAACATCATACCAGAAATTTTGTAAAAAGTAAGGGTCACAATAATCCATTACCATTTGAAGAAATTTTTCCGGATGAATGCTTCATTGGAAATTATTCAAGAGCGCCACAACTTTGTGGTTTATTTTTGAATATTTTACAAAAATTAAAGTTATGAAATTTTTCAAAAAAAATAAATTACATGTGTATGTAAGAAATAATTGTGAAGCATGCAATAAGTTAATTATATCATTTTAAAACATTTTATGTGATAAAGTTGTATCATCTAAAAAATGATAATTCTTCTAGCTTCTATGGCACGTGACTTGCTATTTAAAATGCTTCAAATTGATCCAGAAAAAAGGATAAGCATTGATGAAGCAATACGTCATCCTTACGTGAATCTATGGTTTAGAGATGAGGAATGGAATGTACCACTTCCAGAAAATCGATATGACGCAAATAATGATCTAACTGAATTGCCAATAAATTCATGGAAAGGTTAATCTTATAATTTTCTATAAAATTTACTGTTCAATTATTGATTATCATTGTTTGCTATAATCATATTTTAAACTCAATCATAAGCTATAAATAATTATCAGGAAAAATTTTCAACTTTTTGTTAAAAATTTTTGGATATTAGCAAAAGATAATTGAAGAAATACTGGTTAAATTACTTTAATTAGTTGATGATAATAAAAAATTTTCCTAACAGTTATAAAAGACAATTTTTGAAATTTGAAATTTCTAAATTATTTATTTGATAAATCTTTAATGATAGTTGTTTTATTTCAGAACTTCTATTCAAAGAAGTGAAGCGCTGTGAGAAAGAACATTCGTCGGAAAATACAATGCCAAACAATCCCATAACTAATCCATCTGATAATTCCAAGTGATAATAACAGTGGCAAATTTTATTTTTCATTGATCTCAGAATAGCAAATTTTTTTTGAAAAACATTTCTAAAGGTTGATTCTTTTAGGTTCCTTTAATAATTAATTCAATTTTTCATGATTGAAAGTTGTTTGTTCTCTGTAGTATTTTCTTGATTGAAAGAAAGTTATTTGTTCCTCAATTATTTTTGATTATACTACCTTTAAATAATTGTCAATCCAATTAGTAAAAAAAATTCAATTAACTGCCAATCCAAATAATTAATAAATTTAAAAAGAAATGCAAGAGAATTTTATAGAAATTTTAGGATTCTCTTCTTAAATAGAAATTACAGAACTTAAATTTGTTTGTCAACAAACAATTTCTACAATTCGCTAAACAAATTCAAATATTATTTTTGTTCTTATTATGTTTAACCAATGAAATTTTCTTTAAATGGCCAGCCATTTTAAAGCTGTTAATCATTGATTGATTGATTGATTGAATAATTATTAATTGAATTTCTTCTGCTTTCTTTTTCCACCGATATTCTTTCAGCTATGTATAATTGAATAGAACGTGGCAAACTTGATTTTTCCTTTTGCATTGCTTAAATTATAAATTGTTATTTATTTGCATTGTTATTATGACAGCCATATGGATATGTTTTCAAATTTTATAGGCAAATAAATTGAAAGTGAAATAAATTTATTATTTACTTTATGTGAAACTAATTTTTATTGTATCGTTCTTTTTTTAAATCACTGATAATATTATTTAAGCTTAATGCTTAAATTGTAAATTATATTTTATAATATATGCTAATAAGATTTAGTAGGAGAAGAAGAAATTATTTTATAGTACATTTTCCAAAATTTCAATTAAAAAAATTGAACTTTTTTTTCTTTGATTAATTACAAATATTATTAAGATTTTTTCTAAATTACACTTTAGATCAAGAAATGAAATTTTATGATTTAAATTTTTTCCCGTGAGTTTTTTTCTTTTGAAAATTATCCCAGGAAACATAAAGAGATCTATGATAATGATAAAAATTGACGAGACAAATTTATGATAATGATAAATTCTATGATAATGATAAAAATTGACGAGACAATAATTTCCCGGGGAATCCTCAAATTTTCAATTTGTATTGATTAATATAAATGACAGCAAAGGAAAAGAACATCTACTATCATTTTAATAAAAATTAATTTAAAAAAGAAATAAAATTTAGGAGAAGAAAAGGATATATGAAAAACAAGATGATGTATGATTTCAAACGATAGGGAATTAATGAGAGAATGAGATGTTGTAAATTTAGATATCGGTAGAATGAAAGAAATGGTGATATAGAAATTAGTAAAACAGTTAGAACAGGTTAATGAGATAGATTTGAGAAAGTACGGAGGTGGAAATGAAAAAAGACGAAGTAGTAGATGGAACAAGTATTGGTTCGCGATATCAGAGAGAAGGTAGTGCCAGTAACGGAGTTCCGGATACGGTATTCAAACGATCATCAGTTCATCTCTCATTATCAGATATCGTATTTGTCACTTTTATATGTTATTTCCAACCATTTTTATCCTTTCAATTCTAATTACTTCAAAAGCACATCCGCGTTAGTTCATTTTCATTATCACATTTACACATAATTTATATTTAAATTAAGGAACAGCAATCAATATTTCTTACATGATGATAGACAGTTGAAAAAAATTCCCCAATTTAAAGTTTGATGATTATATATATATATACAAGATTTTATTTTGGTTTAATTTAATATACCTAATATATTTCTTATCTTTACTTTAACAAATATCGTTGACTTTTTCTTTTCTTGAAATATTATTTTGATTTTGATTAAAAATTTTTCTATTCTTTTGTTTTTACTGAATTAATAATTTTTATTTAGAATTTCGTAAATTGGTATGCGTAACGAAAGATTTATCCAAAAAAAGTGGCAATGATACATCGAAATGTCATTTAGTATTGAAAGATACGGAAGATGAAGAACCAGGTCGAGCAGCACCGAAAGAAGCAGGATGTTTTACGGTATGAAATTTTGTACAATTTTTTTCTTTGAAAAAAAACTTTATCGAACTTTATCGAAATAACAAATGAATGATTGTTTTTAAATTAAAGGAAAGATACAATACAACAATCAGTCGGGTTTTCTGCGATATTTTTTGTCCAAATGCTCATACGGTATGTACGTACATCAGTTTATGAATCCATAATCTTCATCTTTTTTTTTATTTCTCTCTCTCTCTCTCTCTCAAATAAAATTCAAGATTTCTTTATTTTTAAAGAGATATAAAAAATGCTTTTTAAAATTTGAATTTAATATTGAAATGAAAATATAAACATCTTTTCATTTACAATTACAGGTTTTTCATTCAGCATTCGAACTATTCCATCCTTCTTGCTTTCAATACCATAATTATCAATTGATAGAGCGTGAAAACGACTGGTAAATATTGTTTCTTTAAGAATTGAATATTTGCTTGTATTATCATTTCGAGACTTATACAGGTATTTCCAGGTACATGTGGAGATCTGATCGATGTTTGAATTCAACGGCGACATTTTATTTCGGATGTAAATTCAACGAACCCTTCCGCAAAAAGTACTCAAATGATGCAGAAATTTTTAGAATTTTAAAGAGTCGACGAAAAGCCTAATTCAGATTAGAAATATATGCCCTGTTGTGTGAAATCAACGGAATATCATTAATAGATTTTGCATAGCAAATTATAATGCTGTGTTATCTTCGGAAGGTTGAGAAAGAAAGTTGAGATCGAATCTTTTCTTTAAAATAAGCTTGTCAAAACTTCACAATTCATGGTCTCATCTGAACAAGCTGTTATATATATTGTCAACTTATAGTTGGAGGCGAGTGATAATATTTAAAATATCATGCCTTTTACGACATTTCAACACCCATATTAGAACGTTTTCATTTTTTTTTCTGTATTTATACAACTGTTTGAATCTCCTGACTGTTGTTTAGTGCAATTCGTAATCTTATAATGCTCCGACGGATTGGAAAGTATCAACTTATCAAAAAACTCAATAAACTCGCCATCAAATCATTGTCCTATCCTGCTGTAGATTGGATTTTTAGTAACAGTAGAGAGATCCAGACAGAATAAATTGCAATTTTTGAAATTGTAATTTAAAATTTGCCGCTTGTTTTGTACAGAAATGAACAAATATTCAAGAAACTTTAATTTAGAATTAAATGAATCAAATTATGTTCACCTATAAATGGATCGAATCAATTAGAAAAAAAAGACGTTCAATCACTGGATCTACAATTAAAATGAAATCAGAACAATTTTCAACTAACATTTGTACAAAGAAGCTTTACGAAAAAAAAATAGAATGACTGAATAAGGTCAATTTACGGTATTGGCATTACTTTGGAAAATTTTTTAAACGAACAACATAAATTTCAACAATATATGCAGCCAAACATTTATCACTGTCACTCATTGAGCATTAGACGTATCTAAAATGTGGGTAGTATCTAGTCAGAAAAGATATCCAATAATTTGAAGCTCTGTTAAGTGCAACGACTGATCTCTAAAAGTCTAGTCGTGTGTCTACCATATAATTATCAACTTTACTAGTAAGCCACCTTCGGAAGTCTAGCACTTTGCATTTGCCATGTGTATGTACTAAAAGCACTGAATGGATTGCATTAAATGCCCGGATAGTACTGGCATTTTGATATTAAAGGTTATATATAAGGAAGTAAAGTTAATAGGGAAAGAAACCACATTTCCGTACACCTGTACAATTTTTAAGTATTAAAATTTTCAACAGCCACAAAATTTTCTCAAAAACAATGTTACCACAACTAAATGAAAGATTTACAACAAATCCACCAAAGCAGTCGAACGATGGTTTTTTAGGCTAGATTAAAGAAGCGAAATGAATTACAATTACCGCAGACAATTAAAAAGACGAAAAAACAAACGAATCCCAACACTATGCTTCTCATCCTAAATAGTGGATTCCAAAATGAAAGACTAATGAAATACCACATAAATTAACATTATTCATTAATGCCTAATAACGGTCGCCTTCAGAGAAAGAAAATGAGACTTGAAATGAAAGAAACTTCAACAATTAATCGAAGACATTTTGCGAATGCAAATACTTCCAAAATATATGTGAAGCGTAAATTTCAAAAATACAAGCAAAAATTATCCACAAAAAAACATTAAAAAAAAGCGAATCTAAATCCAATGAAGAAAGTCCATCTTGAAATCCTAAGACACTGACGTCATCCATTACTACAAAACTTTTACATATTACCAATTATCCAAAAAGAAGAAAGAAGGACCTTATTATACAATTACAGACTACTGCAAAACAAATCAAAATTGATAATTACTCACCGAATCCTACGAAGACTTGCTAGAACCAGCTTGATCAGCATCATTTTGTTCCTTCGATGATTTCTTCTTTAACGAATTCATAAATTCTTGTTGTGAAAGAGCCATTACCTGTGCCAGCAACGCGTTTTCCTCCGCATCCGATCCTGCTGCATGAAACCACTCGTTAGCACCTGTTAAACGAATATTTCTAAGTTCTAAATCAACTTAAATATAAAATAAAAATCTCACAAAATTCTGGATTGCTTGAAAAAAATATAGAAACAAGGGGAGATGATATACTTCGAAAATTTAAGATTGAACAATGCGCCTATCACAACTGTCATGTGAATTTTGGTGAATTGTTCTAAACGTAATTGAAACGTTAATACAAATCATATGGACATTTTCTTTATTCCTGATTATCACAAACATGTCGCACCAATTATACATTTAACCAAAAGCTTCTATTCAATCATCTGGAAGATTCAATCATCTGATTCAAAAGAAGGTACTTATTGTGTCATCATTGCTTTCCTGAGGACGAACATTTGCACGCGAGCAACCCGGTTCCGATACCGAATATGCTGTTTCTTTCCCTTCGGTGTTTTCCGTTTTGCTAATACTCTTCAAGTAATCCAAATAAGACTGTCGAGCTATCTGAAATAAAACTATATGACAGTCAAGCTTAGCTGAAGTGAACGACATAAAAGTACTATTGAAACGAATAAGTATATCAAAAGAAATAGGCCGTTATAGTCTCTCTAAAAGATATTTAGAAAGCCAACTTTAAACTATTTCGATTACTTTCATTATAGGTTCATAATGAATCAACATCAAAGACGGAAATAACGGAAATATGAACAGTGACCTGCTCGCTAATGTCTTGTTCTGTACGCTCAAAATCAGTCATTTTAATTTTATCGTGCAGCATGGCGTCTTCGATCATTTGAACTTCTGATTTCTTCATCGCTTCTTGCAATAGATTTCTGTCTGCTGCTCCAGGTGAATACTCAGGCAATCCCAAACCAACTCCAACTGTCGCTTTAGTTGGATCGATGACTGAAATTCAGCTAACTGCATCTCATTCCGGAATGGTTCTTAAAAATGCCGAGTTAAACAGGAAAAATGTGATTGCATATCCAAAAGAACTCGCATTTTTTCAATGCTACTCTGTCTGTTTCAGTTTTCGACGAAACCAATTGAAATTAATGCAATCACTACCTATAAAATAAGGCATAAACCACAGTCGCCAAACCACGTACTCTGATGAGCAAAATAAGTCCTCACTAACCTGAATTATAGTGAATTGAACCATGATATGAAAGACGGATTGGTGGGTTTGGTTCTGCAGATGGAGAGGCATCTAGACGAGAGCTAGAGATATTTCGAGGCTCTGAAGTTAAACATTAATACAGTGGAGAAAAAGAAAATACGTAAGATTATATCAGTATATGAAGACACACCAGTACAATACTCATAAATTTCGATTGGGCGTGAAAATATTTCAGAAATTGCTTGTAATTCAACATGATTCCCATGAGCATCACGACGCCGTTTCCTTGCAATGTAATCATGAAAATCTTCTGTCACGAACTGTGAGAAATGATCACTATTCTTCTCCTGAAAGTTTTCCGAAAATTTTAAATTACTTTAGGACAATTAAAGTAAGAAAAGGAAGTTTGATTTTGAAAAGTCAGAGTCATCCAGAAGACGGGATGCTTACGACACTTCTGGATAATAAAAATCATGTGACGTAGATAAAACTAACCATGTAGTCCATACAAAGTCGCCTGACATCGTCATGCATTTCTTCATCACCATATACTTGATCAGCTGAAAAGCTATTGAATAAACCAAGTGATTCCTATTCTGTAAGATCTGTGAAGAGAATTTACCGAAAAAAGAAATACATTTTTGGCAAGATCATTAGCGATGGAAGAAAAAGGTGCGCAAAGAAGCGCAAGAAAGAGAATGAAGCATAAAAGTGAAGCTAGTTACGCTTATCAATAATTTATGATTCTACAATTTATTTTTAAAAATGAAGAAAAAAAACAACGATATGGTATGTAAAAAAGCTCTCAGGATTCTGCACCCACCAACAGCTCGGAAAAGACATGCTCCATCTCCTCGAACAGGCTTGATCACAAGACCTCGTACGCAACGCAGACGCTCTTCAAACCACGCTTCGAGCTGAAATGAGAGATATTTACTTCCTTCAATATTTTTCTCGCACTGTTCCTACGACAAATAAAAAGAAAGATGGCTTTCTTTAATGATTCATCACCTCCTCCTCCCACCACTACGGAAGAATGTCAGGTCAGTTCATGAAGACTTTCGTAAACACAGAGGAAACATGAGACATACGTTATCATCTTTGAAACCAGAACCATCTTCGTCATCGGAATTAATAACTGGAGCACCTGCAAACATAACATTACAAATATCTGCAAAAAGGATCCAATATTTTTCAAACATAAAATACAACAAAAATCACACTTGCTACGAAGTGATATTTCAGCTACCTGGATCTTCTTCCGGAGGATTTTGTCTTGGTTGCTTATTAGTTTCCGGTGGAGACGTACTCAGAAAATGATTACTTTTACTAGATGCAGTCCTGAAATATGATTATTTTTGTTATCCGTTCATGAAATTTTTTATTTTAGTGGGAATTGCAGAGAAAGTTGCAGAAACTGAATAAAACAAAAAATTCATTGATGGTTACAATCTATTAATACAAAAATATTCAAATTTATCTCTTTGTATCCACGAGGCATGAGGCATGATTGTAACAAACTGTCTTGAACAAGTGCCTTTGCGCCATGTACTAAGAATGAAAGATAAAGAAGCGAACAACCTGGGAAGTGGTGAACTTTTGGAGCTAGCAGCAGCATTAGTTTTCCTTTTTTCCTCGTTGCCATTGTTCGTACTTGAATGTCTATACATCGCTGAGGTCCGATTGCTGAAAATCGGCCTCAAGGTTTAGAAATGTCAGAAAGTTTGTCTTATATTGAATGCTGAAATTTATCATGACATAGTAAACCTATCAAGCCTGTCCGGAAAATGGTCGTTTTGAATGAGCAAATGATAATACTGGGAGAGAAGATGCTAGGAATGATCAGAGAGCTCTCTGATAATGTGCGAGAAGAAGGCTGGGTATTGAAGGTTAAGAAATGGCAGAAAGTTTGTCCTGTAGGGTTCAGAAATGTCAGAAGAGTGTGACCAGAAAAATCTCGCTTTTTCCATGGAACAGATCCTTCCGATAACTCAATTTCTTTATAAAGTATCTAGAAAATACCTAACGGATTTCAATGACTTTAGGTTTCTGCAGAATAACAAAAATGATAAATGATAAGCACTACTCCGCACAATGATTTTAGTAGCACTAACCCTGTTTGTTGCAAACCATGCCGCTCGGTATTTTTTGTCAATTTCTTCGGTTTGTTAGGTAGTATTGTCATGATTAGCTCAGTCCAAAACGACCAACAATATATAATCTACAAAAATATAACGTTACCAATGTCAATTTGTGAATGGCATACTTGCGCAGTACGCAATTTCGAATAAGTCTGAATTCCATTTTGAGATTTAACTCAGTCGGAATTATCACAGTTTCTAACAACAGCTGTTCTTCATTGTTACATTTTACTAACATAGAGATGAACCCATTCCACTTCCCAATCATTATTACACCACTACCGATCTGACCGCAATTTTCATTCTGTGGTGTTGAACCTTGTTTCGATAGATGTTGCCCAGTGTTCCGTTTAGAAACCATGCTCGTTTGCTAACGGAGATTTTGAAATATGTGGCAACCCGATGTCAACAAGCAAGTTGAAAAAGATCATGGAGTCCGTCCAAATACATCTCTGAAACTATGAAATTATTAACTACACACGAATTATTCATTGGAAACTAATGCGACCTCTACGACCTTTTAGTTTTCGAAATTTCTGCAAACATTGTTAATAAATATCCAGAAACAACTAGTAATAGTACAGGCAATGCCTGAGACTATCGAATCTAAGTAGATATCAAGACTTTTGCAACAAAATTCATAATTTTATCGAATTTGAAGCACACCAATAAAAAATTCATATAGCATGGAATACCATTTGTTCCAAAAAAAAAAAAAAAATGCGACTAATCGGTTCAAATTTGATGAAATTTGTAAAGTTCAAATTTTAAAGGCAGACCCTTCCACCCTTTCTTCACAACTCGAATATTATGAAAGCCTGAGTTCCCGACCTAAAGAAAAGAAAATACAACGACAATAAAGGTAGCAAAAACTGTTCATTAACAATATAAAGATAACTGTAAGAAAGATTCACGACTGAAAGCAGAATGTTTAACAGTAGATAATTTCCACAAGAACTCTTAATTTGAAATCAGTGGGGCAGTACTTGTTGGCCATGCTGGGGAACATTAAAAATTGAGTTCGATCCACAAAATCAATCATCCAGAACGCATTTAAAATCATTAGACTGGATCAGGGGAACCACTATGTCGCACATATATACAAGATTGTACATATGTAAATTACAAGCCCGCAGATAATGCATATACACATTGCAAAATAATGTATTTTCCGGATCAGAAATTTGGGTGAAAACACTAACAGATACTAGGTGTATCGCTGTCGTAGTTCTCTCCCATCGTCGACAGGATTATCGATGCCTTCACTCATTTCGATCAGTGCTCTTTCTAGAATAACTTTAGATTCCTTGTACTTTTGAGGTTCATTCATTGCATATTCGTACATCCAACCAAGTTTTGTCTGAAAAATATGCAAATGATCTTCTCTATGTCATTCTTTCGAACTTAACCTTCTTTCTAACGTAACTTCGTGGAGTTCTAACTGCATTATATGCAAATTATTTAAGTAGAAGGAATTCTCGTACTCGCCATATACTGCTCTACTTTATCTTGTATTTACCTACATTTCCCTTATTTAACACTCCTCCATTCAACCACTAGTTCGCATTCATCTCATTCTTCCAAAGATATTTCGAAAATATAAATAACGCTATCTCACTGAGGAGGTCATAAAATTCTACTAAATCCTCGCAAAAAAAAGAATGCAGAATTTTATGGGACAGAACTTTTCCGTCAATACATCACTAAACTCTAGAAGAAGTCACTACTTTTTGGACATTCTACCCACCCTTCCAGTTCTATTATGTACAAAAACTTCCTAAGCAAAAAATACTGAGCTACCATACTTTACATCTCTTACAGATGACGTCTCGAACAATATGTCGCCCGGTGATCATCGTTCGCAACTGCATCTCTGAATATTCGATGTTGACAACACGGTCAAATAGGAAAGCTGGACCTGTCGATCCTGAAAAGCCAATAAATCGTGAAACAAAAAACTATCCTGTAATTTGATACTTCACGCTTTAAAAGGAAACATAAAAAAACTCCACTGTACTTATGAACAACACACAGGCGTATCTTAATTAATCTGCACTAGCTACGAGATAGCCCTGTGATAGATAACCTTCTTGAAGATCGATGACGATTAAAGCAACGTTCACGTACTACTGCGTACTTCATGCTAAGATTATGGGTACTCCACGTTCAACTTTTACCAGTGAAATGCTTCGAGATTAGTTCATCCTCATTTGTCAGGAAAGCTTTACAGCTATCACAGGAAAAAATCCGACGACCACCAAGATGTTCCAGGAAATAACGGCCCATCCCGGTATCTACTGTACGGTTATCGTTATTGCACAGCAATCTCTTCCAAAACACACCATAAAATTTCTTTTTAAAAAAAACCTGAAATAGAATACGAATTAGAAACTTGATTTAGCAACATGTAACTAGAAAGAGTAAATGGATGTTCATCTACTAATTCATGGAAACAATTATTCTATACTAATGCATTTTATTCTTGAATGAATTTGAATGAGGATAAAATTTGATAATAAAAGGGAAGAAAAAGGTTCTATGGAATTTTTGGATTCCATTTTTGGATTCCAAAAATGACGCAACATGATTTTATCCTCAAGTCATAATGTATGCTAAAAGTCCTACCAAATATATATGTAGTGTATTCCAGCCAAAGAAAACTTCAACGAGAATAGCAAATCTTACAGAAATACTACAGTGGAATGCTCTTAATACATGTTGCTTTATTTCAGCAAAGTCTTTAAATTTTCTATCAATTTCTTGAATTTCCTCTCATTCCATACTACTTTTCTAGCTTCAAACACGACAACAAATAGCATGAAGCTCGGAAATTATTGCACCATCTCGTAATGATAGCTTTCCTCTTATTCTTCCGAGCCTTTTCCTCATTTTTAAAACTCTGCAACTGCTATTACCCGACCTTATCTATCTCCACGCATACTGCATTATGAACTACGCCAATTAAGCGTACGACAAGAACACCGCACGAGGAATGCCCATAAGTCTCATTAACAATCACTCAATAATCGGAAAGTAATTTTAACAGTCAGTTTTGTGGCCCGTTGTTTTCAAACGACTTCAGGGCAGGGGGTTTGAGTTCCCGATATGGTTATCGATTGTTCAGAATGCCGGGAATGTTGGGATTATTTTGATCTTATTTCTGATGCAGGCTATGTTGAAAGCTGCTCGGTTAGTTAGCATACAGCCACGTTCACGCATATCAATCATAAGCAATTTAATGAGAACGTCGTATTCCACTGGGATAGAACACGCGGAGACGATGAAAGAGGTTATGGTTTTTGTTTATTTTAAAGTTTTCATATGATGGAATCAATATTGAGTTCTGTGAAAGCAACTGAAATTTTCGTTTAAATAAGTGAATACGAATAAGTGAATAATAAGTGAATAAAATTTGAAATAAGTCAACACCAAATAGTTACCTTGCATTGGTTTGAAGTATGGATTCCTCGATTCAAAGTTAGCCTCACATTTGTAATAAAACAGCTGATTATCACTCATTGCTGTGAATTATATTCTACGGTATTGAAAAGCTTTGTATTTTTTATCTTCAATTGCAATATTAGCATTGAGTATCAAAGATATCACTTAAAAGGATGGGATGAAAATGTTACAAGTTTGTAAAATATGCATAGTACAGTCATTCTTCTGTTCCCTGGGAGAATTCCAGGATTAAGTTATTTGGTCATAATTATCATGAAAAGTATTTTTGGATGAATGAATCGATAAAAATCCATCCGTTAAATCAGTTAAAATTCTAGTTACTGCAACAATAATAATCAGTAGTAATCATTGGTTGTTTATTTGCATTTTATTTTAGATTGGAATGAAGAAGAAAGTGAATCCGAAGGATTACAAGTGTTCCGATTATTTTAACTTCCAAAAGTATTCTTATTGTGATGCAGAGGTATCCAGTTTTGTTCTGCGGTTTATAACCCATGACGAGTGGACAGTCATAATTTTGAATACTAACTATTCATTCATTGCAATCTCTATTACTGGTAGTGGTGCAATTGCATGCCAAACACTATCGAGCATAAGCTTTATGGAAAATTACTAGCTGTTGAACTGCTTATCCCAATTTCTCTTATAATTGGGAAGTGTGAGAAAATAAAGTCTTTTCAAAGAATGTTTGACTAGTGTAAACGTGGGATGAAGTTTTGCAACAACTGCTGTATGGAAGTCGTACTAATGAGTGTTATCCTTATAGTTTTTGCTGTCATATAAGTGACTTAGTTAACGCACAAGTTATGCAGAATAATTCAATGGCGTTGTTCGTTCTGAAATAAAATTTAATTTAAAACGTATCAGCTTTCGGCGGATCACTGATTGACTTGATGTGTCAAATAATTTTCAGGCAGAAGTGATATCAAAACGAATGCCTCAGCCATCAAATAAGAAACCTGACGAAGAGAGAAAAGCCAAACCATAGGATCGAATGTAGATTTTTTGCATAATCTTTTGCAGAAGTAAAGGATTTTTATTACATTGTCTTGTCAAATATACGAAAAATCTCTCTCTAAAACTAGGGGCATAAAGTTGGCTTGTCTCACCTGTGTCAACAAAACGATTTCATTGCTTAGTGCATATTGACTTCGTTTAACTTGCATGAAACTTACATTTCTTAAATGCTGACTGGAAGGCTTTGTAGCTTTTATATTTGTCGCTATGGATACAAAGAACTAATCTTCTAGATTCCCTGAGAAATAGAATACCTTCTTATAGGTTTAACTAATTTCTCTCCTCTCCGGACTTGCCCCTCTCCAAGACATGCTAATCTTTTGAAGTTAAAGCGCAGACAATTGGCAGTTTCTTATTAGTGCTTGCAAATGTAATCAATATCATGGATTTCTTTTTTAACAGCAGTTACTCGGGGTTAAGGAAGAGAACACCACGAAATCCCACTTTAATGCATACTCTCACTGTAGTGCAAGACTGGAAAACACTTCGAGATTACCAAAGAACGGCTGGCTGCATTCCCCGGAGGCTTTAATTAACTTCGGAGAGCACTACCGTATAATTATCA